GGTACCGGGGGCAGCGGACGCTGCGTTGGAGAGACGGAGAGACAGACGGGAGCGAGGGGGGACGGCGCCTGCGGCGGCGGCGCCCGCGGCCTTCTGCTTCTTGGCCGGCGACTCCTCCTCCCCCGCGCCGCCCTCCTCCACCGCGGACGTCCCCGACGAGGAGCTCGCGTCAGAAGAGCGCGGCACGGCCGCCACCGCCGCCGCCTCGGCATCCACCTGGCCGCCTGCACCCTCCACCACGCCCCGCAGCTCCGCCACGCGCGTGCGCAGCGCCGCCACCTAGTGGGCTCGCGCGTCTGCGTCGGCCGGGCAGGATCGCACGGCCCGCGAGCGCGGTGCGGTGCGCTTCATTCATTACCGCGTGATTGTGTGGAGATTCAACCCCCTGCCGCATCTAGCGGCTCCGCCTCTGCCTCGAGCCGCGCGAGCGAGTCGCGCTTGCGCCGCCGCGCCTCCCTCGCTGCGAGCATCTTCTTCTCCCGCCGGCTCAGCAGCTTTGAGTCTGGGTCGTCCCTCCAGCTCGGCGGCTCTGGGCCGTCGCCCTCCTCGGTCGGAGCAGCCGCAGGGGAGGGGAGCTCGGCTCTCGGCGGCGCCTGCGCGCCGACGCGCGCCTACATGCACGCGGGCTAAGGCTCACGCGCCTCGCCGCCGCACAGCGGTGCGGACGCAACACTCTGGTGCTCACCGCCTCGCCCACCAGCGCCGCCTCGGCGCGGGTGAGTGTGGCCAGCTCGTCCTCGAGGCCAAAGAGGTAACCCTTCTGGATGACGCGGTACGTCCGCGCGCTCGCTGCCTTGCGAGCGCGCGTGCGCGCCACCTTGGCCGGGATCTCACCGGCAGCGGTGGTGCCGGTGCCCTCGGCGGTGTCGCTAGCCGCAGACGCGGCGGCCAGGAGGAGAATGGCGGCGGCGTCGCGGTCGGAGGAAAGCTCGGTGTTACTCGGCGGGGCCTCCGTCGTCGCCTCCGATGGCGGCGACTCGACCGAAATGATCGGAACGCCGGAGGCGGCCTTCTCAGCCTTCGGGTGCATGCTGCAATTTATCCTGCGCCGACCACCTTTCCACAAACGTGTTCTAAAATCAATTTCTTTTTTTGAGGGAGGGAGAGAGAGGGAGGGGGAGGGGGGCGGAGGGAGGGAGGGAGGGGGAGAGAGAGGGAGGGGAGGGAGGGAGAGGGAGAGAGAGGGAGGGGGAGAGAGAGGGAGGGAGAGAGGGAGAGAGAG